ATGTCTGCCCGTATATGATTATTGCGTGAATGGGGAGCTGTCTGTGCACTAACAGCAGAATCGCCTGCTCGCTGAGCCGGGCCGTAACTGAAGAGACATGTGACAGCTGTGATTGGATGAAATAGTGTAAGGTGTTATGTTTGTTAAAAACACCTTCATCCAGCCATTAAAACTCACAACCATGTTAAGTATTTAATGCTGTCATTTGTATCACTTATGCTTATGCGTGTACAGATATATAGAGAATACTACACGAGGTCTCATTACATACGCATTATACGAAACGAGCAGTCTAAGTAAACTTAGTCTCAGTACTATTCGTTACACTCCTCTCAGTATAGTAGGGTAACGAATAATACTGAGGCTAAGTTTACTTCGACTGACCAAACGAGTGTCCTTCCTATGGTATCTGACCGAGCGAAAGCGAGGTCAGATAACATAGGAAGGTCACGAGTTTCGTATAAATCGTATGTAATGAGACCGAGTGTGGTATTTTATTTATTACCCACGTCTTACATGCATTAAATTCAGAAAAGAGCGTATTTTTGTTAATATTTTGGTTTCAAACCGAAACCGGTTTCATAAAGAGGTTGCGGAAGAGTTTTGCACTGTAGTACAATATTTGCATGACGTCACTGTAATGACGTCACTGCCTTGGTAACCGACGTCACGATGCATGTCAGTTGTCATCGCCTCGTACAGCCTCCTACAGTAAACTACTCCGTAGCATCCCGCTTCTTGGTTTCCAGTTGCTTCATTCGGCAAACATCACTGGTGGAAACATTGCGTTTACGTTTTTCGACGGGTATAATGTCTCAGTTGGACTCACAATTAAACAGCGACACGGCAACGTTCGCGATGTTTACATTCCCCACAATGCATTTAAGTTGTAGAATGAATGGACTCACGTGTTTGTTATGAATGAAAAAATAGTTACGTCAGAATGTGACCTAATTGAGAGGTCATCGGTTATCAAATCAAATCGTTAGAATCTCAGGTCAAGTCGTTACGACACAGGTCAACGCGATACGACACTCGTGTGACGTACGAGATTAGTATGCAACTACCCATACGTTGACCACGTGGGTAATAAATTCAAGTAGGTGACAGTTGGTGCGGACCTGGCAGGGTTGATGTGTTCAGCTTCCTGTGTGTGGCTTCCTGTGCTCTCAAAGTTAGCCGGTTCAAGTTGACCAGTCAAGGTCAGACTGTAATCATGTGTACATGGAATGGCTGTTGATAATGTTGAATGTATAGTCACAAATGATCAGCTTCCGTTATGTAGGGAGAGAAGTGTCTGACCGAAATTAAAGACAGGAAATAGTAAGCAGTTGAGGACTGATGGTCACTGAATATCTCAAGTAGGGTGTCAAGTGGTTGTACAGTGATGAAATGATTTAGCATTTGTCATATATATTACTGAATAAGAAAAAAAACCTACATGTGTTCTCGTGTTTACTCAACATTTTAAAGCTGAACTTTACTTTCGAGCTGCAAACATAAAAAAACACCATCTTATGTCCATGAATACTATATATGCCACTTATTTGACATCATGTGACACATAGGTTACACACATGCCGTTAGCCGCTCTTATTCCACAGACAGTACAATGGAATACTGGTGTAAGCTTCTTGTGACTGTATTCTGTGGGGTATGAAGAGTAGGGGTGTCACGATACACCAATCTCACGATACGATACGTATCGCGATTTTAAGGTCACGATACGATACGTATCGCGATACATAATTATCGCGCCTTTTCATAGCATTACCTTACCGGCAACGTACGCGCTCGCTGATTAGTCCATCAAAATAGTCTAGCCAATCACAAAAGCTGTTAGTTTCCAACTTATTTTTTTAAGTAAAGCTAGCTACATCTATTTATCGGAGCCATCTGGTATAATTTTACTATCAAGACTTTGACGGAGATGGATATAGCATAAAAATTTGAATCGATAAAGTTTTAAAATAGGAATCGATACACGCAAGCATGTATCGCGTATCGTATCGTCAGTAAAAATGTATCGATGTATCGATACATTCGCGTATCGCGACACCCCTAATGAAGAGGTTAGGACCTCCAGGTGTTAAGAATTGTATTGTAGATTAAATGTATTCAGTGACATAGGGAGGATTATTTATCAGTTGTAAAACAAAGATTTGTACAACGAACAGTTGTCTAATGTCAATCCTTCAGCAATGAAACTTAAGTGAGTGAGTGAGTTTAGTTTTATCTTGCACTCAGTAATATCCCAGCTATATGGTCTGTAAATAGTATGGACAAGAAAGTCCAGTGATCAACAGCATGAGCATCGATCTACGCAATTGGGAAACGATGACATGTGTCAACCAAGTCAGCGAGCCTGACCACCCGATCCCGTTAGTCGCCTCTTACGGCAAGCATGAGTTACTGAAGACCAATCCTAACCCGGACCTTCACGGTTACTCATCATACACAAGCTATGAACATTAGGTGCTCTTAACGCATAGTTTGACGTGCCTTTCACGCTACATCTCACGTATGGATTTATTCAGCATTAGACTTGCACTATGTCAAGAATTCAGATAACAATTGAAACTATACTTCTCACACTTTGCTAAGGATCAAATTCCCAAATTTACTTAAACATAGATATATAATTTGAAATTGTATCCCTTTAAACTAGATAAATAATGATATGGTAACCTCTCTTTAGCCAAACAGCCACTTTAATCTAACCTTATGCACTTGATACATGAGTAACCATAAAAATGGTTTTCATGGCGCCAATCAACCATTATTCAAATCATGGAAGGAGTCATTGACAAGTACACAACACCTGTCAGTAGCAAGTATGTGATCCACAAGATGCAATGACATACTGAAACCTAGGATCCATGCTTACAATAAGCTTAGATATATAAAACTAAATTAGAACCCATATCACATTTTTCTGTTGAATCAATGACTTGATTCTTAGGAAAGTGTGAATAGTATGAATTTAAATTTGTTAGATGGACCTCACCATGTTACATTACACATAAATGTGTAACAAACGTTTTACTTTCTATAATAGAAACAATGATGGGTTTTTTATATCACTATTAAAGTTAAATACCATTCGTTTCCCGTGTAGGGTTGGGTATTTTTTAGGGGGGGGGGACTTCTCTTGTTGACAGTCTCTACGTCGAGACCATCTTAACCAACTGTTAAAAATCTTTCAAGAATGGCATAAATTGTGTTTTGGTGTGGACTTACAAATCGAAAGAATCACAAGGTAAGTTGATATTGAGTTGGGCTTTACGTCACATCGGCATTATTCCAGCCATATGGTGACGAGAACAAGTCTGCTTTAATAAACATGGTAGGTACAGAGTCAAAATGAGTGTTATTGCAGAAACATATTCATTACATTGTCATTTAAAGACAGAAAAAGGCATAGCACTAAATTTAAAGGCAGGCAATTTGTTAGTCACATTACACAGTTACAATTTATGATACAGATCAACTTCCCTCAGGTAGTTCGCTATCAGATGAGCGTTTACGCGGGAGAACAGATCGGTTGCATCATAGCGTGAGTCCCTTGCAGACGATAAGTCCACACAGTCAAGCAGAATATGCTTGATGGTGAAAACCTCATCGCAAGAGACACACACAAGGTAAGTAGTAAGAAGGACTTCCTGTTGAATATGACCAGTGGTAAAAGGATTTTTAGCTGATAAGGTCAGGTATCGGGGGCAAAGATAGAATTGTGAGACCATAATCTCACGACAAACAGGATTGGAAGGGACTACATCCAATTACCAGCAATTTGTTTATCATACGCTTGGAAATAAGGCGTAAATCAGCTTGACATGTATTGGCGGTATTATCGATCATGAGGGTCTTTCATGAGTTGGTAGTATGCATGAAGTATGGAATAACTTTTGTCACGGTCGTTTGATGGCTTGAGTCTTTTGATGTAGATAGCTTCTTGGAGTGTCCAGAGCTTAAGATTTTGAGGTTGGCTGTTAGGGTTTAGGCTCTGTCCACTGGATCCTGTTGTCGGAATTGTCTTGGATGTGATCTGATAGGGCTGGTGTGGAATCAAGTTTTAATACTGAGGTCGGATGCTCCTTTACTCGGGTTTGGAGGGGTCATGATGCTTCTGCTCCGCCAAGCAACATCTTACCTCCGAACTCCAGTATCTGAAACAAGTCTTCACACAGGACAACAAATTGCATGCTTGACAGACAACTCAAGGTCCATTGTCAGTGACCACTTACAAGCATGACTTTATGGTAATCAAAGTTTGCATCTGGTCTGATGCTCTGCTTTAGTTTCAAGAAACAGTCACTGACGAGGTTAATAGTCAAGGAGCACATCAGAATAAATCACGGTCAAGCATGTCCTGCTTGACTGTGTTGAGTTTTCCATCATATTAAATAAATGTTTCAGTGTAAAATCCATAAAAGGATCTCTTTATTATTATTATTATTGCGCCGATATCCAGCTCGGCTGATCAAAGGCGCTTTTTCCCCTCGATCATTGAATGTCAATTTAAAACGGCGCATCGTATTGCCAATCTCAAATCCCAATCTCAAATCCCCTGAGTGTTATTGCAGAAACATATTCATTACATTGTCATTTAAAGACAGAAAAAGGCATAGCACTAAATTTAAAGGCAGGCAATTTGCTAGTCACATTACACAGTTACAATTTATGATACAGATCAACTTCTCTCAGGTAGTTCACTATCAGATGAGCGTTTACGCGGGAGAACAGATCGGTTGCATCATAGCGTGAGTCCCTTGAGCATACAATTCTTGCAGCCACTAGGCGCACCGAGTTAATGTAGCTTTCCCATCCTTACAAAGTACCCATTCACAGCTGGTTGGACTGGGACACATTGTCACAGTACTTTGTCCATGTTTACTGCACGTTGCTGTACCCGCAACTAGGTGTTTGTACGTATTCATGTCGCCACAATCTGGTCATTTACCAACGGATTCGTGGATTCTTTTAAGTGCAAAGGCTTGTGTACTGTACAACACCGAAAGAGTCTGCACAAAAAGTTGACTCCAAGGTTTTTACACCCAGTCACAGGTGAGCTCGATCCCGCATCTCAAGTTCGCTGGATCACTATCCTGACACCTCAGACAGCTGCCCACCACGCCCGTTAACGTGAGTTCGTTTGTAATTCTTGTTTTTAAAAAAAATTGGATTGGTGCACAAATTTGATTAATATGTTCTGTATATAGATAGTTATATTTTATTAACGGTAGATTAAATTAGCAACCGAGATGCTAGTGGCTGTATACGGGGTTGAACATACATAATTATTGTACACTTGAGAGGGCACATAAGTAACAATACGTACACAAAGAAAGTATTATCCCAAATATACATTTGACCACTTTGTAAATAGTATTGTGTATTCATAGTTTTTGGTCGTGGTCTAGACTACCAATTGCCCAACTTCCATTTTTGTGGAACCTGCCGTGGCAAAGTGGGTTAGATGGTTGACTTGGTGTGCTGGCGATTAGATGCCTGACTCAAGGAGTGTGGGTTCGCATCGCGGATGGGACTCAAACCAACAAAAGTACAAGATCTGTAGTTTACTGAGATATAACGTGCTACAGGGGTAATGCAGGGACAAACATAAATATGTTACGAATAATGTTTTATAACTACAACTTCTTGTCACAGTGCAATCAAGTACAATATATTATATTTAAAACAGGTTTCGATCAAATTCTCGTTCAGTTGTGCATGTGAATTTAGTTGTATAACATCCACACGAAAACATTTGCATGCACCAGTGCACAAAGCACATCAACATATCATCGGTTCAGGCTCATAAAGCCGACCTTTCGACCAAACGGTTGAGTGAAATATAAAGGTAATATAATGCCTACAGTGAATAATGCCTACAGGGAATAATAGCTACAACGTTTGCAGTGACAGCGATACGCTTACCTGCACACAAGTAGATTGTTCCACTTAGTGTGCACTATTGCCTACAAAGGGATTAGGGGAGGCCAGCAAGGAGAGTAAAGAGTAAGATCAAGAGTATTAAATCGTTAGCTAGCTTATGTTTTGATAATTCCATAAGCATTTAGTTCTCACACGAGAAGGAAATTGAAGAGTAAAGTAATTAATAGAGAGATTATTAAAGGGAGAAGGAAATGTATTGCTTTAAAATTGAAGAATAGAGTAATTAAATGAGAGATTATTAAAGGGAGAAGGAAATGTATTGCTTTAAAATGCTTGCGATACAAATCTTCATTGCAATTCATGGCAAATCCCAAGAAAGTCGAATACTTCACATCACAGAAAGGAGGACAGCAGGTACTCTTGGAGGGATACCGCTACAGACTCAACAACAGGCGACAGACGTGTGTACACTGGAAGTGTGTTCAAGGTGGCTGCTTTGGCAAGTGTACGACAGTCGGACAGTTTGTTCGGAATCAGACCCCACACAACCACCCACAAGAAGACCAGGTAGCCCTGAAGATTGCCAGTTCCCTGAGGCAGCGGGTACAGACTGAGACGACGCCAGTTCAGGTGATCTACGATGAGGAGATTTCCCGACTTGACCGAGGTGAAGCAGCAACAGTCAAGTCGTTCCATTCTATGAAGAGTGGACTCTACAAGCAGAGACGGAAGATGATGCCGCCACTTCCCCAGACGCTCAGCGAGGTGAATCTACCCGACTTCTTCAAGGAGACTACAGATGGACTGCCCTTCCTCTGCATTGATGACGGTGATGATGACAAGATTCTCTGCTTCGCCACAAGTGACCGCCTTACCCTCCTGCAAGAAGTGGACACCCTCTACATGGACGGCACCTTCTACTCCTGTCCTCCTCTCTGGGATCAGCTGTACGTCATCCATGGCCTAGTCGGAGGGAAGATGACCCAGTTGGTCTTCTGTCTACTGCCGAATCGTCAACGCCGCACCTATGAACGCCTGCTACGTCTCCTGAATGACAAGATCCAGCAGACAACGGGATCGCCCCTTCAGCCTGATGTCATCCAGACGGATTTCGAAATCGCTGCCATCAACGCTGTTGAGACCGTCTTCCCCAACTGCGACGTCCGTGGATGCTATTTCCACTACAGCCAGGCTCTCTGGAGGAAAGTACAGAACCTCGGCTTCAGCGAAGCCTACCAGCAGGATCCTGAGGTCCACAGATGGGTCAGACGAGCAGCAGCACTCCCCCTCCTCCCAGTGGCCATGGTACAAAATGCCTGGATAGAGGTCATGGACGACGCCCCTGCCATTGGACAGAAGGATGAGTTCCAGGACTACATCACCAGCACCTGGGTAGACGACCATGCACGGTTCGAGCCGGACTATGGAATCACCACGACACCAGCGCCCCAGGACGAACAATCATCTCGAGGGTTGGCATTCGCATCTCAACAAGACCGTCCAGAGAGCCCACCCGAAGATTTTCGCTCTTGTGAAGGTTCTGCAGAAGCTGGAGAAAGCGGAGAGAAATAAGCTGGTGCAGATGGCTCATGGCTCGTCCCCACCCCGCAAGAGGACGTACACAGAAATTGACCAGAGACTCACTCGTCTGAAGGCCCAGCTGACATCTGGTATCAAGACACCCCTGGAATTCCTGACTGCTGCAGGATATTTGATCAAGCTAGCTTGAAAACCAAATGACTATGTTGATGAATGTGTGAAACTGTGTGTATACATGTAAATTACTTTTGGTTACCACAATGACTTTATTAATGAATGTGGTAGTTGACTGTGTGAAAGATGTATATATGTATATATAATCATGAATCAAATTAAGTTTTAATTACATTTTAATCCAAATAAATGATTATGTTTATTTATGTAAATTTATTTATCTCAAAACAAACTACTATGTGAAAGATATGAATAAAAATATGACAACAATGTGAAAGATATGTATATGAATGTACATATGTATATGAATGACCAAATAAAATGTCTCTCAACATAGAAAGTTACTGTTTTCTATATACTGTAGGCATTAGTGCACTTTGAAATAGGACAATGCCACTTTATTGAAAGGTTGAAGGCAGGTGCAATCAGCAGCACTGGTGCGTAAAGTTGTTTATTTAACACTGTAGGCATTATTCACTGTAGGCATTAGTAGACTCCACCAATATAAAGGTCGACGTCCTGAGACTAGTTTCATTTGGCCAATTAATAATGAATTACGAGGACAATGCAGGTTTAAAGAGTTGTTAGAGGAGGGTAATCCGGATTATGCGGATGAGAGCGCACCTAATGAGAAGATGACAACAGATTACAGATTTAATTTTTAATAAATACATCGTAAATTCCTATAGCATACATTTTTTCACAGATTTTAACCTAAATGCAATAGGTGGGATGCAGAATCAGCAAACTGCCTCACGGACAGTGTTCCTTGTTCAAGCTGGGGACAAATGTCATCCAGTCGTCGCTCCAAATCCCTGTATTTCCTCTTCTTGGACGGACGCTTCTGGCCAGCCGCATACTGGACCAGCTTGTTTTCGGTGTTGGTCTGTTCTCGTGACTGCAACGACACAATCTCGAAAATGTTTGGATGAGCCTTGCCGACGTATTTCTTCAGGCGTGAATGCCACCCTTCTAGGTGGTTGTATGTTCTTGGCCCATCTGTGTTGTGGTGGTTCCATTGCGTCATGTGCAGATCTCCCTCCACCCAGAAGTTGGCCATGTAGTCTCCGAAGTTGTCGGCAGCGGTCTTCATCAGTCTTTTGCAGTACATATCCATGATATCCAGTCTCGTTTTCTTTGCTGACTCTGTACATGAACCCGCCAACAACCAAGTAACGACTGCCGCGAGCTGTTGGGATGAATCTCTGATCGAGCTGTGCATTTGCCATTTCGAAATCGAATGTGAATCCTTTGGCCATTCCATAGATATTTATACCAAAGATATGAACAGTGTTCAATATTGGCACTCTGCTAAGTGTTATTGTAAACTTTTCAATCAATTGGAAGTGATATGTGCGACGAGTTCACCTTATCAAAACATCTAGAGTAGATTATCCGCAACGCTAATTAAGCCTAATCAGAACCTAACCTTCAAAGGAAACCGCAGGTCGGTGTCCTGAGACTAGTGGAAAATCGAGTCCTGAGACGACACCATATCATCAACCTAACATGTTTTCATGCCACATTTCATTCAACTGATGAAGTGTTTTCTCGGAGGAGGGTATACCCCAACGTTCATGTTAAACGGCAGTTTATTGATCCAAACGGAAGACATTCATTGTAATCACGGCATATTGTGAAACAGGTAATTGTCTGAGTTTTGGAGTTGGATATATTGGTAAGTAAACCATACTTACCATTGTCAGTGCACGCATTGATTGGGGAATGTATGACACTGTTCTTTGGGTAATTATTTACAAAATCTAGCAATATAGACAAATCTAGCCATATATTAAAATCACACATATTCTACGATTAAAAAAGTGAAAACTTTTAATTTACCTTGAATGTTTGGGGACTTACGACCAGATATATACTGAAACAGACTAGAAGATACAATGGTATAATCTATTAGACTTGTACCGTAATGAGTAATACATATGAACGCTCCAGTTAAATCCCCTGAAATACGGCCGTTAACAATGTGAATACCTCACACTCACAAGTCCAACAGACACAGCAAATCGATTTATTTCACGGTCTTGCGATTCACGAAAGTTGTCAGTCGCATACATGCCACCGAGCTGAAGTAGGACAACATCAGACTCGTCGTCAACAAGAAATTCCTCGCTACAACCAGTTAACAATGTGAATCCCTACACTCTACATAAAGCCTTGTGCGTTGATGCTGTGTAATGGGGGATGTTCCGGTAAAATATACACAAATCCCATATTGATAGTTTTGCTACGTGTAGACAGTGAAACATTGGAAAATACACGGTTCGCCAACGCGTTATAATTCCTTGTGAGACGGTCAGAAATTCAGTGATGAATATATACAGCAATCTCCCTACGTTTTTAATCGCCTTCAGAAGCAAAGCATGAGAACGAGCGAACTATCTTTATGCATTGTTTCATAAAGTTCTATTTTGTCAAAACTATGTAAGTACTGGTTACTAGTTTTCAATTTCTATCTGTGATAATCTAGTTGTTTTACTGTCCTTCGTTGACAGGTTTTTATGATTTTCTTTTAATTTTTATTAATATTTTCCCTTCCTTCTTATTAATCTATAGGGGCGGTGGGGTAGCCTACAGGTTAGAGCGTTCGCTCGTCACGCCGAAGACCCGGGTTCGAATCCCCACATGGGCACAATGTGTGAAGCCCATTTCTGGTGTCCCCCGCCGTGATGTTGCTGGATTATTGCTAAAAGCGGCGTAAAACCAAACTCAGTCAGTCAGTCAGTATTAATCTATAACTTGATCGAGTGACGATATGGCTGAAAATTGCCAAAGTGACATCAAATGTTAACGCGACGCGCGCGACGCGCCGCGCCGCGCGCGCACGCGCACGCACCCACCCACCCACCCACCACTGCCCCATCAAAATTACCATATCTACACTACTTGCACCAGAACCACAAACAAATCCTAACACTACCCCCACCCCCAGCACAGAAATCAAATACAATGTACACAAAGCAGACTGGAATAAATCACTAAACTATGCAAACAAGTAGACCCATCCAACATTATTAACACTGACACAGAAACCTTGAACACACAGCTTACCAACACCATCATTGATACAACAAATACATGCATACCCACCTTTCGGACCACCCAAGCACAGAAAACAGTCCCATGGTGGAGCCCAGACGTTATCAATGCCAGAAAGGCACGAAAAAAGGCCCTCAATAAATCAAAGAGGGACCGTTCGAAATTACATTTGGCCAAAAAACTCAGAAACAACACAAAACAACTAATCAAGGCAGCAAAAAAGGAACATTGGAGAAAATTTTGCTCGACCCTGAGGCTAAACCAACACAACTCCAGAAAAATGTGGAAAAAATTTAAAGCTATTCAGGGAAATTCCAAATCTATAATTCAACCAAACCTTCCGAACCTCCCCACAAATAAAGAAAAAGCTAATACAGTTGCTGCCCACTTTTCGAACACTAGTAGCTCCACCAACTACACAGCAAATTTCCAAAACATCATTAAAAAACCATCCACCCCACTCATGGTCTAGAAGCCAGACTCCCCAAATGGTGAAAATGTGATGCAGTTCTGGCGAGGGAATGGAATGTGATCTTTCACAATCAGGAATGATTTGGCTTTGATTTAAAGCCGGTTGTCATCAGCTACCGTGCGTGACTAAGGTACAGAGGCCCTTTTAAGGTGCAACATGTCATGTCAGTTATGGCAATTTTTAACCGATAACTGGGTGGTTTAATTTAATAACTCTGGTTTGGTTTGAACGATTTTCATAACAAAAATAGTTTTTGAATGATCAGACCATGATTTACAATTGTGGACAATAATATTACAAATATTTTGGTAAGGTCAAAGGTCAGTTTTAATAGAAAGGGCATTTGAAGAGAAAATGTGAGTTGAACTTTACAAATTAAAGGTAGTTTTTCCAAAATTATATGTTTTTGATTCAGCTATATCATTTGAAGATCATATAAACCTTTGGTTGGCGTTGTATTCATGAAAAACCATTACAAGGAAATAAAGGTTGGTACTTTGTATTTAGATCA